GGTATTTATTTCCATGTAAGGCTGGAGCCAAGAAAGGATGTAAATCAGTAATTGTGTAAGACTTCATGTACGCAGAAATGGAAGAACAGATGCAGATTTTCCATTCATAATTGCTGTCTTTGCAAAATATATAAGGTGCTTTTTAGGTTAGGGGTTTTGGGGTTTTTTGGTTGTACTCAAAGGCAGAAAAACTGGTGTCAGAAATACCTAAACCCTGAAATACATACTGGTGAAGCAGTGTGTACAGGATAAATTGAGAGTACAGACACCTACTTTTTTTTGTATCAAGAAATCGCTACAAATGCAGTAAATTAACAATGTATTACACTGAGAAATAAAAGTTTCACATGCTCTTATTCGCTTTAACATATTTTACAAGTTGGGGGGGAGAGGAGATTTATTCTGTTTTAAAACATAGCATGGTTCTTTGGCTCCAAACAAGAACAATCCTTATCTTTCCCTTTCCAGTAATTAATCCAGTCTTAACTTTGTAGAAGTCGTACTGTAAACGAACAATAAACATGTCTTGTTTTCAGTGTTAACTAGTGTTGGAAGAAAAAGAAACAGCAAACATCTCCCAACAAGCACAGGCATTCTGACTTCCAGATTACAGTACATTGCTTTGCTTCTTCCAAATCCTGTTTACATGAGCAAGGTCAGGAGATGGAACATTAGAGAGCCTCTACAGTGACTTCCTGCTGCTGTCAGTAAAAACTACTGAGACATCATCAACTTTCCCTTGTTACCAACAGCTTATCAGGGACCAGACGTTACCGATGTATTGCCTTACAGACTTGAAAAAACCCTACCTCCCTCAAAACTAAAAGTAAAATCAGAGAATGAAACAGGAAGAAATAGTCCCAAAGGGAAACAAAGAGTTCCAATTTTTCCTTTTCAACAGTTCAGAAAACAAAGCAATATTAAGCTGCTTGACACACAGAGAGAAGGGGAGGAAGAGAGTCACTAAAGCTTTCAGAGTCATCAGTGAGATAGAAAGGAGAAAGAAATACAACCCCCAGCACCCAAACCTTGACCCCAATTTAATGAACATTTTCAGAGTGTAAAAGGCTACAATACACCTCATTTTTAATAACTGCAACACATATGAAGGCTCTGACCGTTAGAAAAGTCAGGGCATTACACAAATCCCTGTTAGTTAAGCTTATACAGCTTGTCTTCATACTGGTTTCAGTAACACATACAAGAACTAAATAAATGAATCAAGTTCAAACCTATTTTCCTGACAGTAACAATACAGACAGTAATTCTTAATGTTTATGTATTACAGTCCAGAAGAAAGCAGCTCCATACTGACAATTACACTGGACTTTTTCCACCAACACAATTACCACATTTGCTTCACTAAGTTTACAAAGGAAGGTGCATCAGTGTGAATATTACACGAAAATGGGTTTTTCACCATGTTCAAAAAGAACTGGCCTTACAGCTTTACGTTAGAACACAAGCTGGAAAGATAAGGTGTTTAGAGTTCAGGGAGTTTAATAATTTAAGGGTTTGCTAGCAAAATCCTTATGAGAACATTCATACCTGCATGTCTTGGCTTAATCTCTGAAGCAAGAAAATGCAAGTAAATTTAAAAACCTCGCATAAGTAGGCTTTTTAAATGTGGAAGTTGTCATGGATTGTTGGGTTTGATGAAGCAACAAATTAAAATTCCTTGAAAAGAAGAGGAAGAGTGGAAGCAAGAGATAACCAGTATTTCCTCATACAGATAAAGCTCAAAATAAAAATGATTTGCTAAGAAAATATCAAAGCAAATATTTTAAATTCACAATAAAGAGTCAAGACTGTTGAATGTTTAAATATTTGTTTTTCAAATCTCCAGGCAGACTGTTATCAAGAAGAGATGACAGTGATACTGAGCTGCACCCTAATTATCTGCAGTTGTGTGTCCTGTTTTGGGCTTCTCAATGCAGGAGACACTGACATCCTGGAGAGAGTCCAGCAGAGAACAAGCAAGATAGTGAGTGGGCTGGAACACATGATATATAAGAAAAAGCAGAGAATTGGGTTTATTCAGCCTTAAGAAGGAAGAATACAGAGAGATCTTACTGCCATCTCAAACATCTAATGGGTGGATAGAGAGAAGACAGAGCCAGACACTTGTTAGAGGACCACTGTGATAGAATTAGAAGCAACAGGCATGCTGGAACATGGGAAATTCTAGCTACATATTATGAAAAAAAAAATACATTTTCACCGTCAAACACTAAAGCAAACTGCCAAGAAAGTTGGTAGAATCTCCGTTCATACACATATTAGCAAATGAACTTGACAAGGCCTTTAGGAACCTGATCCAAGTTGTCTCTGCTTCAAGGGGGGGATTAGATGAAATCACTCCAGACATCCCTCTCAACCTGTACTGCTCTGTCATTTTTATCAACAAATCTTTAGAGAAGGGAAGAAAAGGAATACCTTTCTGCTCTGTCACAAGTCATCTTAAGGGCAGTAATAGCATATTTCCTATGACCTGTAGTACAGGACACAGTTTCGATAGCTGAGGAAGATATTCTCAATAGAGAGAACACTTTCTCCCATTCCCAGGAGTAGCTTGAGATCTATGGGAGTTTGCACACTTACCATTAGGAATTTTGATAGTAATTCAACAAAACTTTATAAAGGTTTTGTACAGACTTCCAATCTCCCTGAAGAGATTTCAGGGAGCTTTAGGGAACTCATCACAGATGCTCAAAAGCTTCATTGTAGTTACTTGCCCCAGAGAAGCTGGTCTTTGAGTACTTGAGACAGTGATCTGAGAAAGGCTGTATCTCTCTTCTTCAGCAGAAAAATTAAAGTAAACATGTTTATTAGCTGCTTCCAGTGGTCCAGGGACTTGCCAAAGTGTTTTGCAAGTAACCCTTAGGGCCCTGCTGTGTCACAGCTGTGAAAGATAAAGACATAGAACAAGAAGCCTTAAAGATACCTAAGTGTAGAGTGCATTTTTCTCTCTGTACGTGTCAGAAGGACAAAAGAACAGCTTAAGCTAGAGCAAAACACTTCAAAAAGAGTAAGTAGGTATAGATAATTAACCTGGTAACCTGATTAAAGAAAGATTTTTAGTCATTTGAACAGTGCTCTTCCAGTAGGAATAAGACCAAAAAGCTGTAGGCAGCTTTAAGATGGGTCTTGACAATTTGGGAGGGGTGTAGGGGGAAGCATAGAGTGATATTGTCTTTGATAACCAGGATAAAAAGAGCAACCCAAGGGGCCTGGAATCAGGGAGAGGGAGGGGGAAGGAAAATGAATTAGAAGTTGGTAAACTCAAGTTAGAGGAGTATTGAACAGAACAAACACACAGAAAAATAATGCACAAACATAGTATCAATCAAGTACGGACAAACAGTATCAAGAGGAAATCTGGCAGATAGGTTGGCACAGTTGATGTACCTGTTATTTACTATGGGAAAGGAAGGAGGCTAGTAGCAGAGAAAACATGCAAATGGTTTCTGGATTTGTGTCAGTGGTGGTGTGTCAGACAGAACCATAGTCCTTAAGGCTGCAGTCTGAGTAACAAGTACACAGAAATGTTGCTAGATGGAAAAACATGCAGATGGTGAATGTTGAGGTGCAGAAGGGTAAAAATCAGTGGAGAACAGAAGATTAAGATAATGAAATAAAAGAAAAAAGAGGTAGCGATTACTGACACAGTCAAAAGGCATGAATTTTGAAGCAACATTCTTGTAATGAAAGCTGCAAAGCCAGCCAGCCATCAAAAGGATGCTGTCTCTACTGGGTCAAGTTATTTGTACTACGAGTTCTGGATACAAAGTTTTATAAACTGCTCTCTTAACAAAAGAATTAATGAAGGAGATAAAAATGACTGGCAAATTTATAGATATGTAATAGAGAATTACAGTATAACCGTACATTTAATTCTGTCATCAGTATTAAGATCAGGAAGTATTTTAACATGATAAGTAGCCAATAAATTATATCCACTACAATCCACTATCTGTCAAGCCTACTAAAGAGATTTCTGTAAGTCTAAGATAAATTCTGTCACAAGTAATTTGCAAGGAACCATGTTTTCATTGTGAAAACACAACAAGACAACTGCTAAACCTTAAAATACATGAAGTTATCTCTCAAATAAAAGTGATTATATAATTATTTGTGTTGAAAAGGTTTCTCACAGACATCATAATCTTCGAAAATTTTATAAAGTACCTTAACAACATAACTTTTCATAAAGCATTCACGACAAAACAGAATAGCAGAAACTATGCCTTCTCCTATTCATATGTATTAACACTTCAGCCACACAAACTCTTGTTTATGGTAACTAAAATTGCTCAAGATACAATTTATATCTTCACAGGAACAGACTCAAAGCTAGAAGAAAAATTCTCATTTTAACCTAATTCTAGAACAGTGCATCTTTTAGATTTCATACCAGGAGAACATATTTCTCCTCCTACGAAACTACCGTTAAAACATTGCCTTCCTTTCCTCCCACATGCCATACCAATGTCATATGAAGAGCTAACACTAGAAGGATCTAATCCTATGATTCCGTGATAAAAATGTTTCTTTTTCTCCTGAAAAATTACTAGATACCTTAAAAGGAGAAAAATTAAAACATCACCTTTGGAATTTTATCGATGAGACAACTACTCTTTAGGTTTCTCATTATTTGCAGATAATGGGAAGAGAGACAGAATTACAAAAACTGAGAATAAGCCACAAATCTTAACAGTAATGCCTAGATATAATTAGCATAGGTTTATAATTAGAATTTTTGCTTAGTGTATGGGTAAAATGACCAGTATAACATGAAACCTTTGCTATTACACCATCTTCTGGTCAGCCTTGGGAACTGTGAAAGAAAGCTTAAACTGAGAAGTTAGGATACTGAGCTCTGAAGAGCTTACAAAGGTTAAAAAATATATTTTGTTTATACAGACAGAAAGAGCACACATCCAATAACATTTTAGTTTAAGCTATACCATATCTTCCCCTTCCTCCAGAAAGTAACTTACCGGAGTACTGAAAGATGAAGAGGAACTAATTTCGATGACAGGCGGGTCAAGTGCTTGTGTATTACTCACAAAGGTAGGGTTGACCTGTTGAAAAAAAGTTATAAATATTGTTATTATTTCAGCACTTGTAGATAAGGGAAATAAGACTGAAATAAAAAGGACTACTTGCTACATTAAGGCACCACTGTTCACTAAGGACTGGAAAATGGTCTTAAAATTTGTAAAACTAAAGGCGGGGTGCTACCCTCAAGCTATGTAAAATACCCTCATATAATAAAGATAATCCAGATGCACATTTATTACAGAAATATAATTTATACTTTATAAGCATCCATCACCCAAAACTAACTCAAGGGATTCCTACCGCAAGAGGTGCGAGCATTAAGGAGTTCAGTTGTATGACAAATCAATAAAAATGAAGTGACAAATACCAGTTTGAAGTGGATTTACTAAGACAACTAAGTAAAAACCTAGCCAAGGCTGAAGCCATGCAATTGACAGAGTTGTCAATGATGCTGCTGAAATACTGAACAAGAGAAAGTATTCAAACAAATTCCCAAATCTGTCACTTCCAGATGTTTCTGAAAGCTTTCGCACATGCACAAAAATTATAAGGGCTCCTGAAAGTCACCTTTGAGTTTTACTTTCCCGCTTCCATCACTTGTGGGGATGGTTACAGGCTGTCTTTCCTATGCCTTCCAACCACCAGGACTGTTCCCAGCAGAAGTGATGTACTGCCCTGGGTAACAACTTGAGAGTTGCCTTCTAGCAATGATGCTCAATTAGCTTGTTACAGTCCAAGGACAGCAGCAGCCCTCTGCTTGTGGAGGCTGCTATATACAGCTATGCAGCACTCCTTTCTTTATGTTATAGTGGTCCCCTGCCTGTTGTAGTTTACTTAGGGCACATTCTCACTCATGGTCTCATACTGCAGCTTATAAATCCCACTACCATTCAGCCTGAGCTAGGGTCAGTGTGGTTGCAGCCACTCTGGCACAGTAGGACATAGGCCCGAGTTGCCTTACTGGTGTGGTATACCATCAGCATCAAAGCTGAAAGTGAGCTGAGCACACACTGAGCAGCCCAGATCAATCAATTCCCAACTCACACTCAAGTTCCACAAATCATCTGTCACAACCAGATTGTTGACATGCTTATTTCTTATGTGCCAGCTCAGATTGCCAAAATAGCTTGAAAAAAAACCCTGTTACGGAAAACAGGTAGGAGGTAATACTGAAATCTGTGGTAAGTTAATGGGCCAAAACACAAATCATGCTGTTCCTAAAAACACAGGAAAAACTGCTTTACACTGGGATAAAGTCAGAGGCTGATCAAACAAGTATGTCATCACAACATCTGCCATTTTGACATCCTTCTGTCATGGTTGGACTACTCATTTATTGCTGGTTATAAGAGTTAATCTATAACTTTAGCCGTATTTTGTTAATGTCCTTTCCTGAAAGTGAAGCATTAACATAGGAGACAATAAAGTTTGAGAAAGCTACTGCTTTTATTTATCTGATGGTTTTACTTAAGTATCAGAATATCACCCCTATAAATTTTTTTTACGTACATCACTACCATAGTATTATCTAGGTGTATCGCAGCATAACACATTTGCCCTCTCAGCATGATGAGGAATTTGAGGATTATTTCTGAGTATGGAAATATTATTCTTGTTACTTTATGAACTGCAAAATTGACAGAGGGACTAAATGACTTTCAAATCACCAAGAAGTCTGGTATAGTAAAAAAGAAATGAACTTTTCTCTTTTCAACCTTTTATCAGTAATCCAACAGCAGCCTTACAAGACAGCATTAATTCCAACCTTGAAAGTGGAAAAAATAAAGCAAACTCACACTTACCTAGTGACAGGGCTGTATTTTAGTTGCTGAAAGTTCACTGGATACAAGGGCCATTTTATTTTGTATTTTCAAAGAGAAGGTACCTGACACTTCACCTGGAGACTGTCAAAACTCTGGCTCAGCCAAAGCTGCTCACTCAGTAACTGCTTCAGTACTACTTCCACAAGCAAAAATCCCTGATGCTAAGGTTCATACACCAAACATACTTGGAAACTTAACTTTAAAAAACAAGAAAGAAAACATAGAACACTAAAAGGCAAGGTAGAGGGAACTGTCATGTATTAAAGGCTTTCAGAAACACTCTTTCATAGCATTCCTTTAATTACCTGCTAAACTGATATATAAGTATTTCTGTTATCTTCTTCCAACACGATTCTATAATTAGCACATTTTGATACACACAAGAAAATACATTTGAAGGAAGGTTTCTACAGATCCTTTCACGTAAGGAATTACGGCTTTCTAAGGACTGAAGTAGAGCAAAATCAAAATATATCATTTAAAGAAAAAGTGACAGGCAGGAATTAGGATCCCTGCTTAGGACAGAGAACTAGGGGAGGAACAAAAGAAGCAGGCCCAAGCAAGTATGTGATTCTCAGCAACAGGCTTTAAGTAAATTTTTATGCCCCTACAGATATCCCTCTGTTGATTTTAATAAAGTATATCCAACCTCACACACCCCCTTCACTTTACTTTTATAACACATTTCATAAAATGTTTCAGATCAAAAACCTAAGAACTAATAAAATTAAAAAATGAAGTTTTAAATGATTCACACAAAGTATTTCCTAGGAAAGTGATGTAGCTTGCTGTGAAATAATCTCTCCAAACATACCAAGATAAATTTAGCTTTCAATTTCTAACACCATTCCCTGTGCTAGACAGGGGCCTCCAAGACAAGCAAGCCGTATACTCTTATTTCTACTGCCACCTAGTGTATATTTGGATTTCCTTCCTCTAAAAACTACAACTGAAATCACAATTTTAAGATGAAACTAAATCAAGAGTAGCTTTTCGTGCTCAAGATGGAAACACTACATATCTTTATACATTCAAACCTCAATGCTGTTTTTAAAGGAAATTTATTTCTACCTTCCATCCACTTTAAAGATGTCTCTAGTGTAGGAAAGATTAATTATGTACGAAACACAGGCAATACAGAAATACAGCTGGCACCAAGTGGAATGCATTTCTTTTGAGTTACTATCCTAAAATTGCATTACTGATTAAATACATACATTATTTTCAAATATCTCCTAAAGCGCCCTGTTTCAAAGGGAGACAATGACTGGGATTTATTTCAGCTGAATTTAGACATACTGCCAAACACCTTTTTTGAGCTGGTCACCTAAGATTACCTCTATGGTCAATGAAAAAGGCACCTTCAGAGAGCAAGTCATTTACTTATATTTCTAAACTGTCTAAATAATTGCAATGATTTTAAGCTTTAAACCTGTACTTAGTTGAATGTGGGGGTTGGAATGTATCGAAACTGGCAGAGACCATGGGAAGGAGAAGCTACAGCAGGCAATTAAGAGTCACCATGGGAAGGAGGAACCACAGAAGGCAATTAAGAGTGACCCATCCCTGACTGGTACTTGGAAGTTGTTGGAACTGGCAAGGAACAAGGACGTCGGAACGGATGTCGATATGAAAATCTGATAGACCTTTCACCTGATGTAACCGTAAGGCAAACACAGATGTGCTTGGCTAATTGCTTGGAAGCATATAAATATCATGTAATCTTTGCAATAAACGATCCAGCTTGCACTCTACCTCTGGGTCCGTGCCTCCATCCTCACAAATGGCACCCGAACAGGGGGCAAGACAGAGAGCCGTGACTTGGCGACCGGTGAGGACGCCCAGCCGAACTCCGAAAGGCTGCAGCAATTAACTGATACCTCTGACTGAGGTAAGAGGCTGGGAACGGGAACATGGGAAACTCAGTATCTCCCGAGCACAAATCGGTGTACAGAGTACTAGTAAAATTCCTAGCAAAGAAGGGGTTTACTGTAAATGAAGATAAACTGAAAGACTTATTAATATAGGCCTCAGCCCATGCCTCAGAGGCAACATCAACTAGTATTTATCAGAAGGGAGTATGGGACAAGATTGGGGTCTACCTTTGGGATGCAGCCACAAGTGATGATGCATCAGCACCCAAATTGCTGGCTCTATGACGCTCAGTCTATGAGGCACTTGACAGGGCAGTACAGGAAGTGTTGGCACCGTCAACCCCTTCTGTCCCAACAAACAACACTCCTCCTGTTCTTGCAAACAACACTCTGGATCCTCTCGATCTGGGGCCGATAGACCCAGAAACTGAGCCAGTTCTATTCTCACCTGATCCTGGCATTGGCTGTCATGAGGCGCAAGCTTTGCTGGTGCTCACACACCCTCCCGCACTCATCGGTCTGTGGGAAGATATCCGCCGGCAGGCTGCAACAGCAGATGAGCCAGGCAAAGATGACCCTTTTGATCCCAGACCAATCGACCCTGACAGAAGACCCTGCCTCTACCCCCCTGACCCGCATGATATGGGGAAAAACATTAAAAAAGAAGCGGAAAATCAAGGTGCTGTGAACCTGCCCCACGACCTGAATGCTTCACATCCCGTCCGTCTCGGGGCGAACCACGGGCTGGACGACGGGGAGGAAAACGGCGCTCCCGCGGGAGCCCAGCGGAGGCTGCGGCGGGGGGCTCCCCTCCGGCAGAGGGGCTGCGCCTGGTGGCGGCGGGACAAGGAGCTGCGGAGCACGGGAGCACCGCCTCTCCCTCCCCGCTGCCCCGACCTCACTCACTCGGACGGCGGCGGCAGCAGCAGCAGGCTCCGGCGGGCTCCCCCCATTGTCTGCCCGCGGGCAGAGGGCTGTGATACTCGCCCGTCCCTCGCCTTTGTGTGCTCCGGCAGGCGCGGGTAAGCGCTGCGCCCGCCAAGCTGCGCGCTGCGGGGCGGTGGAGGGGTCCGCTCCTCCCGGTGAGAGGCTGGAAGAAACCCAGCCTGTGCTCCGGAGGTTTTTCACCCACGGCAATGGTCTGTTAACAGGTAACGATTCAGTCAAACATGCTACCCTTCAAAATGGAGTTGCCATAGATTTTTTGCTGGTAGGTCAAGGACATGGTTGTAAAGACTTTGATAGAATGTGTTACATGAACCTGTCTAACTGAGTCTGTCCATGAGGCAATTCAAAACCTAAAGGAGTTCAGATGTTGTGAATGGAGAGTAGCTGGAATTGGCTAGAAAGTTTACTGTCATAATAGGGCATCAGTGCATGGTTGAAAGACATTATTAAAATCGTAGTAGCCTGTGTAAAAATCTTCTTATATATTTTAATCACAGTTCCTTGTTTAATTGCTTGCATAAATCGTTTGATTGCTAAGTCTATTAACAATGTTTTGTTAGTTTATAAAGAAGGCGGAGATGAGGGGAATGCAGCACAAGAAGCTGTGCCAGTAGACCTGGACGAGAGCCTGGACATCTGGACTCTTATCAGCCACAAACCTTGGAAGAAGTGAACAGGACAAGTCGGGAAGAACTGGAGAAAGAACATCAGGTGGAACCAAAGAAAGAGTATCAAGATAATTTCCGAGGACTGTAAATTTGGAAACAGGAAGATGCTTAATACAAGATAAAGAATGTGTAGTCGAGGGGAAGTGGAAGTGAGATTGTAATGAGTAGTGATAGCAAAGAACTATGTTTAGAAATAATTACTCAAGCAAAGGCAAGTGGACAGTAATGTGATTGGCTGAAAGAGTAAGTGATCAATAAGACTGTTTTGTGATGGAAAAGTACCAAAGGAACTAACCACTACTAACTGCTAGGCAGAATACTGTAAAAACCTGTAAGCTCACTCAATAAGGGATTTTGTTTGTAGCCAGAAAGAGAGTCCATGCCTCAGTTGCCACAAGATCGGGCCTGGCAAGGGGTGCCATCCCATATAAAGGGCAGCCCATGTGCAGTAGGGACCTAATAACACTGTGATAATGAATAAATGAGGATTGCATTCTTGAAGGTCAACACACGCTTTTCAACTGAGCTACGATGACAAAGTAAATTTTTGGAACCCAGGTAAAATAATAGCTGCTTCATTTTTAGCTCCTGGAGTAGCTAGCACCCAAGCTTTAGCAACATTGAATAAATTAGGATGTTGGCTTGCTAAGCAAACTAATGCTACAGCATCTGCTCTCTCTGCGTTGCTCATTGATGTTGATTCTATAAGACATGCAACTTTACAAAATAGAGCAGCAATCGATTTTCTCCTCTTAGCTCTTGGACATGGGTGTGAAATTTTGGAAGGAATGTGTTGCATGAGTTTGTCAGACCATTCAGAATCCAAACATCACAGTATCCGTAAATTAAAAGACAGTGTAATGAAGTTAAGGGACGATGATAAAGATTGGTTATCATCACTTTAACTGGGGTATAACTGAGTGGCTATTGACATTGATTAAGGGAGGATTGATCTTTTCGCTTGCTCTCTTCACCATCATATGCATTGTACCTTGCTTGTTACAATGTATGCAGCAAATGTTATCCCAAGCTTTTGAAAGACCTGTATACTGCACTGCAAAAACAAAAAGGGGGAACTGTGGGGGTTGGAATGTATCGAAACTGGCAGAGACCATGGGAAGGAGAAGCTACAGCAGGCAATTAAGAGTGACCATGGGAAGGAGGAACCACAGCAGGGAATTAAGAGTGACCCGTCCCTGACTGGTACTTGGAAGTTGTTGGAACTGGCAAGGAACAAGGACGTCGGAACTGGGAAGAGGATGTCGACAAGAAAATTGGATAGACCTTTCACCTGATGCAACCACAAGGCAAACACAGATGTGCTTGGCTAATTGCTTGAAAGCATATAAATATAATGTAATCTTTGCAATAAACGATCCAGTTTGCACTCTACCTCTGGGTCTGTGCCTCCATCCTCACAGTTGTATACTCAAGAATCACATTGATCAGTGCAGTTGGAGAACACTTGTAAATATTTATAAGTCAACAACATGACTGCGTTAAAATTCAGGCTACTGCTGGTCTGAAGTGGAGGAGATACAAATAAGGAATTTCTTATAAAAGTTAATTATGCTTCAAAATGCAGGCAGGGAGAGACAAAAAAAATAGAGAAGGTATCTTAAATATTACTGTCTGTGTGTATAGCTTTGAAGAGTGAACAGGAGAAGTTTTGAGAAAAGGTGAGAGTACACTGAAGCTCCATGCTTCAGTCACTACCCTGAAGACAAAATACCAGGTGATATCCGTAATTCTTATGACCTATTGCAAGCTGCTTTGTTCAAAGCAACATTTCCAATTGGCAGTATGTGAAAGCACTACAAGTGTCTCTCTGAACCCAGCTGAATAAATTCTGAGCAAAGCTAGCTCCATTTTGTGTATACTATTTTCCCAGAATCAAGACCTGGAATAGTAGAGACCTTGCCACATTTAGGCAAGCAGGGGCAGAGAATCAGTAACTATCCAAAAGCAGTAAGAAACCTGGAGAGGCATGAAACATTTGGAATTAAAAAAACATAGACATAATCACTTCCCTCGAGTTTTGCCTGTACATCTGCTGAACCTCTTGCATTCTACCACTTTGAATTTTTTCCTAAGGCAATCCATCTTCATTCCTGCTATAAAGGTGACAGAACTTAATCAGCTCAGCATAACTCAGGGCAACGTATTATAACAAACCTCAAGTGTCTCGATGACATTGTAATGGCTTGTAGCAAACTTTGAAAGGTCACATATACCTTTAAGTATGCCATATTTGAACTGCCTCCTCTGCTTGCGTGTAACTCTTGCATATGTTACCGAGTCTCTTAAAACAGTTACTTCAGTTTAGTTTAGATCAATCATCTTCCCTTGTTCGTCACAAAAATGAAAATTAATAGAAAGCAAGCAGTCCTGCATTTTCTCTGAAGTGTAGAGAAGATAACAGGAAAAACTGTGTCATTTCAGTTGCTGCACTGTAATGGAATAGATCACCCAGAGTGACCAGCGGATCTGCATCCTTCTTCAAGGCACCCTAACTAGACATGCTTATTTGAGACTAAGATACCCTACAGGAAATGTGATGTTAACAGAAAACTAAACACAGCAGCCTTTTCTAAAAAAAATCCTGAAATCAGACTTGAAAATATACCACAAGTGTCCAAAACTTTTCTATGACAAGTGACAAAACCATGAAGCCCTTTCACTACTACAGCAGCTAACTCTGAAGCCTATAAACTGCCACAAAGGTTACAGCCATGAAGAAACACAGACATTAAAGTGAAATCTGTTAAAGCTAACTGATAAATAATTTCTTGACCTTCAACTATCAAGTTTTCTTTATGTGCCCTTTCAGTATTGGTAATGAGGTGCTTCCCCTTCTTAGTTTAACTTTAGCCAGAATTCATTAATGCTTTTCCAGAGCTTCTCAATTAACCTGGGACCAGGGACAAGAACAGAAAATATCTGGAAAATTGCTTAGAAAACATTTGTATCTTTGCCAAGCATCTGAACAGAAGAAGTCTGGAAAAGCTGATCTGAAAAGAAAGCAACAAACCCCGCAGCTAAAAACTACTGTCATTTTTTAGCATGTGTTATAAGTGGTTGCAGTTTGAACATGCCTTGAAAGAAACTACTGATACAGCAAGAGCAGTTTAAATCTGCTGGCAGATGAGTTTAAATCTGCTGGGAGATGGAGTCTGTTCTAGCACTGACCACCTATACTAAGGCTGCTTATCAGTAAACTTCATTCATTGATCTTACAATGGTCTGACACAGAAATTTATGAAGCTTGTCATACATGCAGTTGTCCTGCTCTTCTTCTGACCAAAATGCTAACCATCAGAAAACTTCACATCCAACTTGACAATAGACTCAGACACATGAGAATAGTTAAGCGATGGATTCTATCAGGGTTTCCCTCCTCCACAAAAATATTTTCAAACTTTATAATAGTCGCATATATTCATATTGCACACAGACAAGAAATAAAGAAATAAGCTCAGTATCCTCAAATCTCAATGTTTTAAGTCTGAGCAGGAAACAAAATGCCATTACAGAAATATCTGCATATGAACAAATCCAGGTAATGGTGAATGTGTATAGTACTTTCTTGGTGCATGACAAAACCCAAAAAGTTCCTAGATTTATATCAGACGCAGCTCTTGAACATCAGAGGCACCTGGAGAATATCAAAGAAGAGGTAAAAGTATAGGTAATCACCATGCAGAAGCTAGCAAGATCTACTAAGAAAAGTCACAAGTTCATCCCTGGGGTTTTAGCACAAACAATGGTATTATCTAAGGCACAGTACTGTTTACCTACTTAGCACAGCTTTCAGGCAACCTGACAAACACAGGATTTTTCAAATATTGACACAGAATATTTGACATTTCACTTTGGTTTCCCAATTCCCAATACTTTCAAGGGTTACTGGTAGAAGGTTTGACAGTAAAGTAGCCAAAGAATTAATTTATAAGGAAATCAGCCTACACAGTGACATAACATACACTACTAGCCAAGGTCTTCTAAACTTTTAGATAGATACCAAGATCTTCTCAAGACCATAAAAGTCTTGGTAAGAGGGCCAGCTTCTGATAATCAAGTATTTGACTTTCAGTAATAATGCCACCTTGTCCTGCTTATGAAATATTTCAATTAGTATCTTAAAGCTCAAAAATTCAGGTACCTTCTGCAACAGTCGCCATGTTACTTCAGGAACCAGACTATCAGATATGTTTCATTTAAACTAGAGTACAGACTTACACAAGAAGCATGAAAGGAATTCACCAGGATAAATCTGACAGCATCAGATAGCCTAGTAACTTATGTATCCACATTAAGGTTATGTGTAATACTCAGAGGCAACCATAACAACAAAAAGCTCTCTGGTATATACAGAACATATTTAACTATAAATATGTTTATTTAGATAGCGTTTACAAAAGCTTCTGGTTTCCTGTATTTGAGTACTTACCTCAACTGACTGAATTTTTTCACCATGGAGATGAGGTGACCTTGGGTAAATATCAAGAAGATGAGGAGGATCATCAAGATTTGTTCTTCTAATATGATGTTTAAGAACTTCTTTATAATCCCAAGAATCAAAGTTGGTTTTCCATAGTAATACCTGTAAGGAGCCATCATATTAGTAACTAGTTGAAACCTATTCAGTGACCAAACCGTAACTATTCAGCGAAGTCTGTTATTACTGATAGATCACAACATCAGAATGAGCCTGCTATCACCATTTAGTCTATCTTTACTACAACACAGGCAGTTCCCCAGAGTATCCTGTGCTTCAATTCTAACAAATTTAGTTTAATCTATTTAAATATATATATATATGTCTCTAAAAGATGTCTCAATGCTCATAAAACAAAGCAAACTTTTGTCCCACTGAACTGTACAGTTATTTTTTCTGCCAAATCAAGGGATCATAGACTATCAATTTTCTTTCCATTTTAAAAACTTACAGGTCAAACAAGAAAGTTTGAGGGCATAAGAGAAATTATAGAGTACCATACAACTCTAAAGCACTTGGTTCCAGTGTTTTAGCAAAAGGAATCTGTTTTCTCAATTTTGTCCAATTACATTCAAGGTAGAAACAACATACAACAGTCAGATACGCCCAGTGCAGTTCAAAACACCTAAAGGTTGGCAGTTTCCAAAAGTGTTGATTTTTATAGCTACTCCCTAAATTAGAGGGAACAAATGTGGGATCACAATGAGACTTAAAACTGTCCAGCTAAAAATATTTTTGACAATCATTACAAATATTTTTCAGAAATTAATAAACTAGACATAAGCAACAGAAATCACAGATTTGTCACAAAAATTCCAAGTGACTAAATCATATTCTTAATATATTCCTAAGTAGTTCCATTGTTACAAGCTCATTTCAGGTTCAACATTTTCATGACTCTTGAATGCAGGACCCTAAATACGCACTGGGAGACGCAGTGCACCTATAACAATGGGCTCAAACTATCTCAGACATTAGCACCAGTGAAAATAGGATGCATGGATCTCAGTACAAACTATTCAAACCTGCCTCAGCCTGAAACAGGTAGGTGTTAGGTTAGTTCATTCACAGCAGCTCACTGTGCTCACTCACAGCTCACTCAGCCTGTGTAGTTCCACTACCTCCATCACCCAGTCCACCATAAAGTTATTCACATTTTTATGTGGATTTACCCCATTTTTTAAGGCTAACTTTCTGCTGGTTTAGCAATTAGAACTTTCCTCAGCACTGACTGTAAACAAGGGTATAGGCAGCTATAGGCCGGTAGGACCTTTCATCAGGGGGAACATTTGAGCTGCTCAAGCTCTAAATGTTTCATTTTGCTCTAAAGTGGAAGACCATGACATTGCAGCTTCATCATTACAGATAACAAAATTAGTAGGAGTAAAAACTGCACAGAAACATCTGCGTATACCTTGAATATCTCCAGTGAAATGCAAACAGTGTAAAAGTAACTGTGCACAACCCTACAAAAATAGCTATTCCATAAGGAAGTATTTCCCTTTATGTCAAGGTAGTCATCAGACACAGTAAGTTGCCTCTTCTATATAGTAAGAGCTGAATAAACAGCACAGGCTAGTATCTTCCAAAGGAATAGGTGTAACTTTGCTCTTTAACTTAAATAAAAGGTTTTGTGTCTTCCATGGGAGCAGGTAAATGAAATAATTTGTTTTGTGCACATATAGCCAAGAAGTGTGATGAACATGAACTTCAGAGCTCTACATGCTTGAATTTTTCTGATTGAGGAAAGAAGCAAACAGGAAGAAACAGTGCTTGTTTCAAATACTTAACATGCTTCTGAGCAAAGCTTTCAGCTGGCTCTGCACCAACCAGAAAGAAACTTGAAACTAGAAGCAGAGATACTGGTTTTTCCTTCTTTCATGAGTAATAACAGATTTTATCTATTGTTTGAAAATGTAATAGTCTTCAAATAATAGCTCAATTCTACCACAGTGAGTTGAAAAAAAGTCCCATAACTATTTTCTTGTCAGACCTGGGAGAGAACTGTGGGTGAGTCAGCAAAAAAAGTACATTTGTGGAGTACACAAGTGCATACACCAATAGATAACTGACACTGAGGAATAAAGTTCTTATGTTTACTATATGTAAAAATATATACGTAGATAGTTGCCACATAATGGTTAGCACTGAACATTTTAAAACTTACAATACAAAATTACGACTAAAGTTACACCAAAATAAGCAGCCCTCTCCCACTGGAATGTTCACAGGAAAATGAGGCAAAACTTAACCATATAAAAACATGCCTTTCTGTAAGGTAAATAAAACCAGGACCTGGCTACTTTTTTAATTCAACATTTACTTTAATAAAGCACTTCCTGATGAAACTGGATATTCCCTATCATGCATTCAGCATGAAACCGCTATACTGAACTGCTGAGAAATGTGAGTCATCTTACAGATTTTGCACTATAATACCCACTCACCCCAAGATCCCACATACCACCCATGCCACCAGCTTTACAGCATGGAGTCAGAGCAGGAGAAAGGCAATAACATGGCTCCACTGAACATGCATGTCATTCAGGGGATCCCAAATTCAAATGAACCTTGCAGTAAGACAGGCTACTCCTAGGGTACATTGACATTTATTTCAGAGATTGAGTCAGGCTTAATATTGTAGGTCCTTTCCATCATCGTAGCTTCTCAAATGGATCTTCTGTCATGTGGCCTAGTTTAAGACATGCACTTCACTTCCTCCTAAGTATAATTGTCATAATACTAATTGTCATAAAACTAAAAAGTGAGTATTCATGAGAAGTAAGGCAAGCAATTCAGAATTACTTAGGAATCAAAGCTTCTTTCTGAAACTGAAAAACTCTCATTAAAAACAAAAAACCCACTAAAAAAACCCAACCAAAGCCAAAACCCTTTGGTACAGAAAATAACAGATCAGACTAGTGGCTCAAGAGTAAGTACCTTTCCTCCATTCTTGGTATTTTTTTCTGCTTGTAAAATTAATATTGGAAGTTTGCTAATGCTTTCACTTTTTCAATAACTGTAAGTCTTGGCACTGCTTCTTACTAACACTTTGCGATAGAAAGCAATTTTATTTTTTTATTTTGAGTGCTTTCAAGTCATTCTAGAAAGTGTGCTGACGAAATGACAAGTAAAAAACCAGAAACAGACTGTATTCTGATAATAAAGTTTTTAATTGAAAAGTATTTATTACACCTCAAGACTGTCTCTGTCACTAGATGAAACATATTTCAAACTCCACAAAACAATATAAATATGACCTATGGTAAATTCAGAAGATTTTCATTTCTACAGTGTGGCTTTTAGGTTTTCGTAACTGGAAAAAATGAGAAAGACAACTAATATTAAAAAAACATTTCAGACTGAAACTCTAAGCCTTCGGCTACAAAAGTTTTTTCTCTTTGGGGAATGTAAAGACCTGAGATGATTTCAAGCTTGATAATATTTTTGTAATTATGAGATTTATCACAGCAGATGAAGATTAATTGCATGATTTGCTGTTTAACTCGTTTTGTTTTAAATGCTCAAGCAACTCTTCCCTGTATGAAATCTAATACTTTGCTAATTTGCATTAATAAAATCACAAAGCCAACAATTTCCTGATTTCTAGCAAAGTTTTCCCAGTAGTACAACTTAATACTCACAGAGTAGCGACTTTAAAAGAAGTAAAAACCTAATGGAGAGAGTAGGCTTTAATACTAGTTGCAATACTTTGTTGACACTGAATTGTGACACTTAAAATACTTCTGTTTAAAAATCACTCCTTTATTTTAATATATAGAACAGAAGTATTCAGTATTATGGTCATCTCATCATAACATCCAGTTGGAAGTCTATATAACACACTACCAGACAGAATACAGGCCAGCATGCTGTAATTAGCATGGTACTGTGACATGCTACATTTAACTCCCACCCACCGTAACGAACATTACAACAATTAAAGAGACAATACCACAGACCTGAGCATCTGCTCCACCTGAGGCAAACTTTTCACCTTTTTTTGAAAAAGCCACAGAAAGTACAGGTCCCTGAAAGAAAAAAAATACGTATACAGTAAAGGTATGCCATTCCTGTAATCACGGTATTTTGATGTAATGAGAAAAAGACTTATGCCATTATCTAATATAAATAAATTTTTCAATTTTAATAAAGGAACAATCTAACTGGAATGAAATTTTTGCAAAACAACTTGACCGAAGAGTTGCTATTGCCTACCTTTGAAAGATGTGGTATTACAATTACTCCAATCAGTACTAAGAAAACAGTGACATTTTCCTTAGATTTTATGCTTTAACTCTGCAATGAGTTATCAAATATGTATTACTCAACGTGTTTCAGGGATCCATTATCAAAGGTAGGGTTTTGCATTAAGAAGAAAGGGAGAAAACATCTGCTACTCTTCATAAAACCTCTTTTCCATAAGTCTCCTTGTTCTTAGCGCTGTTTTTCAATAAACAATGACTACTGTGACAAATAATTGATTTTGACAATCAAGAATTAATTCAAAATGCAATATATTACTTAACATTAAGCATGCGTAAAATATTGACAGATTAACTGCACAGTCATAGGTAAAATCGACGAATTTCCTTATGCACTTGTGATTAAGGTGTATTAATACAACTCTATGCTGTCTACTGAAGCTATCTGCAAAGTGCAAGATACAAGACACCATGGCATAAGCGTTGCCTTCCCTTTGCAAACATACCAAATAATCTATTAAGGTCTCTATTTAAATAGGATCATTGAGTATACCTTGTGTCCATGAAGAGTGTAAATAAGCCTTCCTTCCAACACGTCCAAAATCTTAAGCGTACCATCATCAGAAGCAGTGATGAGATAGTTACCAGAAGGATGGAATGATACACAGTTAACTCCTGCTCTGTGAACTAATTTACAGAAAACAATATTCAAAGACTGTAGATACCTACTAACAGGAAATGTAGACTTTATTTCTTTGCTCTTTTCTACTTCCCAAAGAAGAAACTAGTTAATTTAAGAGAAAAACAACCAAAGTGCTGGGGCATAGCACTCTCCAAAGTAATTGATTAATTCTGTTCTAAGAATTAAGAGAATCACTACTAAGGAATAATCACAGTTCAAATTGGATTTTTAGGGTTGCCAGACTACAAAAAGATTATTTACAATATGACTTGTTTCTCTATTTTCCCCATTAAGGAATGAGATCATATAATCTAAATTAATCACATTTAATTGCACAGAGCTCCACTGTTTTTACCTTTGTAATGCTGCAGTAGCTTGTTCATTCGTATATCCCACAGTCTCACTGCATGATTGGAACCAGCAGAAGCTATACACGTACCACTTGGGTTGAAATCCACAAAATTCGCAAATCTAAATACAATTAACAAAAACAGATTAATTGCATGTTTCCATAGAAATACTGGGGGGAAGGGCAGTGTATATCCATATGCACACACACATACATATGTAATATTTTTTATATATATATATACACACACAGCCCACAGTATTAACACTGAGTTGCCACAGATTCATGTGGAATCAAATAAGGTGTTTTAAGCAACTGAAATTAGCATGAGGAAACAAGATGTGCAGGATAAATCAGACTGTATAATCTGGATTTTGTTAAAAAGATAGTATAATCGTTCTGACTCAAATTTTCACAGGTCATGTTGGAGTACAAAGCTCCTAGAAGGAAGTGCGGCAAAGAGCTTGTAAGCAAAAAGTAAAATAATTTTACCTAAGAACAGAATATCTAGCTATAGCAATCTTTTAGACTAGAAAAAAAGATAGTTTTCTGCAGCTCTTTGCTCATGAGAAGGCAGCCATGAAAACAGAGAAGTAAATATAAAAGACTTATATTCCATTGCCTTTGTTAATTAAAACTCTGGTTCCAAGATGCTTAAGAAAACTACAGATAAGTAAAAGCAATTGTTTTCTAAACTTAAATAAGGCAGGTGACTGAAGCTAACCTAACAACATCAACAAGTGAAGAATTCTTAAAATTCTCTTCTTCTTGAAGCACCCAGTATCAAAAAGCATTACAAAAACAAATCAAAACCATGAAAACCTTCAAAAATCCAAGAACAATCAGACTTCTCTCTGGCTTATTTATTGACTATTGGAAAACAGCTGGTTAGAAAATGTGACATGAATTATTTTAGTTTACATGGGTGGCAGAAGTTCGATCTATTTTCAGACATAACATTTATAGATGTTGACACCAGAAAACATGAAATCTCATGAAAATGACACCCTTTCATTTCTCCTTTTTGCTAGTAACACTTACCCTTCATAATCCAAGAGGCTCTCAATACAAATTTTATTTCTTGTATCCCAGATCTTAACAGATTTATCCTCACTGCAAGATGCTATTAGTCTTCCATCAGGTGAAAATCTGGAGCATACAAGTGTGTACATTACTACACAACTGATACTACCTAGATTAGAATTAGAGACATAAGTTCCAAAACACCAGAATCAAGAATGCCCATCTGGAATTAAAATATGTACCATTTAAAGGACATTTGATTTTCTCATATTTTTCATGGAGTAACAAAACTGAAAACAAAAGCTTCTCTCCCCTACTCCTCCCCCCTTCATTTCACAATCAACTAGTTAAAAACAGAGCCATAAGCAGAGAGAGTGGGGTGGGCTGTAGAGAAGGGTGGGTAACAGCAGCCTAAGGTTCTCACTTCAGATGCAAAGAGATTGTTACAGAAAACCATAAGCAAAAAGAGGGCACAGTAAAAACCTTGTGTTCCAATTTTAACCTACATATACATTCCCCTGTGAGTTCTCTCTGGACCTACAAACTATCAGCAAAACATTCATGATTATTCCTAGACTAGCAGACCGCATCTTTAAACAAGAAAATCGATTTGTGCTAACCTCACCAACCATTATTATTTCTTATAGAGAGCAACTGCACAAGGACATTAGAACACAGTTCAAGAACTTCTACATCCAATTTCCTAGTGCTTTTAATTTTAAACAGTCAGATACTTCATTCAGAACTTTGTAGGGCTCTGCACTTCACTAGCGTTACATTTCTTTCTCAAGATGTTTAAATCAGGCCTCTCCTAGCGACAGATTTTCCACTGGGGGGGGGGGGGAGAATTTAATTCAAAGAACAATCTTTTCTTGTCTTTGAAGAGCTGCCCTGCCTTTAAATAGAGTGCAAATCTTAACTTGCAGTACAAAGGCCATTTATTTTACCTTTTCCAGTTACGTAAGCTTAACTCATTTTGACTCATGACCATTCCTTTATACTGCTATGTCCCAAGAATAGTTGAGAAAACCCCTACTGTGCATAATACATCTAAAAATAAGTGACTCTGTGAAATGAGTTAATACAGCACAGACGCATACAAGACTACAGAAAGACAGGATACAGACTTAAAATAAGTACAGAAGACCTTATTTGTCCTTTAAAATGAAAGAATTAACACCCAGCAACAGACTTAATATGTAGACATATTAATACATAGAGCAAGCTTTCAGACTTCAACCAGGAGATAGATACATATATATATATATCTAACACATGTGTGCATACAATTGATTTATTTAAATGTCATTATTAGTGATAAACCATCATTTATCATTCACAGATTTTTCTTCTCTTAGTTCTGTCCTGGGAAATAAAACCCCTTTGCTAGTAGTTCTGCTTCTTTACAAAGATAAGAAAAACAACACTTACTTGGCACAGCAAACCCAGTGAGTGTGTTGGAATAGGGAAAACAAAAGGCGTGGATGGCGAACACTCCATATTTTTATTGATTTATCATTGGATGCTGAAACTAGAAAGTGGCCATCCTGAGAGAAGCTCACACTACGAACAGACGCTGTATGACCTTTCAGTACTGACGATTCTCCATGACTAGTGGGGATAAAAAAAAAAGAAAGCCCAAGACACAAACCACAATTATATTGAACTGACTGAAACCCCGTAAAACTCAGAGTTCATATATTTGGCATCTTATGCAAATGAAAAACCAATGTATACAGTTCTGCCAATATTTTCGTCTTATTTGAATATTATTTATTAGAATAACAGACATCAAAGTAATTGTATGACCAATTTTGGAGAATGGTGCAATTCACTAGCAACATTAGCCTCCATACTTGTTTATGCTCCCTTATGTCTGTTTCTGTCAAAGCCCAAGGATGCGGGAAGAAGACAGAAACTTTTCTTGGGTAAAGAGTCAATTATTCATATTGCACATTAATGAAACACATAGCCAGCATTGCCTAGTTATACTCACATGCAAGGAATCCATAGTCTGACAGTATGATCCCGAGAAGCTGAAGCAAGTAGCTGCCCATCCAGCGAGTACTGTACGCTGGTCACTGCTTCTGCATGGCCTACAAATCTGTAAGCTCTGCATTGTGCCTTCAGCCTCCACACCATAAGAAACCTATCCAAAGAGGAGGTAGCTGGCAAAAAATTAAAGATACTATAAGTCTACTTGCTCTTAATGGAAAAATCAGGGCTAATGCCTAAGGATTTTGAATACCCAGTGAACTAACTGGGTATTAAGGGGAGGAAGCAGTTTATTGTGTTGTAAAAGATACTTGGCCAAAGTAGCAGCCAGGCAGCCAGCAATGACAACACCAGGCTTTTGGAGGTATATCAGAAAACAGGGAGGAGTAAAGGACAATCCTCAACAATTAGCTCTCTCATGTATTAGGCAAACTGGCTTACAAGTACTTTAAAGTTATAGAACAAAAAAATACAAAGCAGAACATCACACACATATAATTAAGTATGAATTCAGATTTAGCATTACCAAATACTATGAACAGACAAATTCTTCAGTGATTTCAGTTTGATCTCCAAAATGGAATTTGTTTCAAGCATCAAATGTTTAACTTTGAAAAGACAAGCCAACTTAAATTCAAGATATCATTTCTGACACTTCAGATTTCTATACAGAAGTGAATATCCAAATTCTATAATCCTATTTTAGTACCAATTTTTTTATATTAACGTTTGTCTAGTTCAAAATACAATATAAAGTTGTCAGTCTAATGATAGAAATTTTTCAGTCACTGTACAAGTGGACCTAACCATCTGCATTTCAGAAGGCAGGCACAGCTTTTACCAGAGCTTGATCATTTTCAGGAAGCTATAAGCAGCAGTAACAATGAGCAGTTCAATTAAACTGACAAGTGTGATATTTCTACACCCCTATTATCTTCATCTGTGCTAAATGCTAGCATGCAGGACAAGTAAAAACAAGGGATTCTCACTCCCACCGCTGTTATAAAATCCCTACCTCTAGTACAGAAATGGATGCAGAGGAACAGTAACCTCCTGGAAGTTGAAGAGGACATTAAATGATGGCTTTTTCTCTTCCCACCCTCTTTCAGGCACCAACACAGCACACAGGAATTAAGTTTCTTTATTAGCATATGTGTCAAGGCAAACCTCAAAAAAATATCAGGTATTAAACTCTTTAGGGATTTGGCACACAGATACTATTTTTACTCTCCAAAGACTAGCTTCTGGTAAAATATATGGGCACAGGGAGAGTCTGGTCCCACATCAGTAAGCCTAAATTTGACACAGAAGTATAGGATATTTCTCCACTCCAACTTTTCAGAACTCTATTTTACAGCAGGCTCCTTCTAATTGTACTTGAATGATTTCTTTCTCCCCTTTGATTCACAAAAAGGTGACCTAGAGTTGCATAAAACAGAAAGGAAGGAGTGAAATGTAAGCTAAATAGAATTTGAAGGCATCAGGTTGGAAATGTGGAACACACAAGATTAATGGTTTCCAAAACAAATAATGCATGAACTTCCAAGTACCTGTGGTACCTTACGAACTGCATGAAGGCAATGTAATACTAACCCTCTTTGCTTTCAGTTCAAAAACTAGAGGAAAACATCTTCCTTGTTCTCCCTGTGGACTTTCTGTTGCCTAGGCTCATGCAGCATTCCCTCTCCATCCTTAGGCAGGTTTCTCTCTTAAAATCACCTGCTCAGTACTGTGAGTACACTAATGTGAGACTAATACCTCCGATACTGCAGGTCCAGCCCAACTGACACCAGTCCAGGGGTGACAGAAGACAGAAGGGTGCACAGGAAAAGGGGAATAACTGACAGACCTGTTGCGGAACTATTTTCCTGAGGCACATAGGCTGATGTGACTGTATCTGTACCCCTCTCCCATGTTGTTAATCCAGACAAAGTCTAAAACAAAACCCTGAATCTATATTCAACTTTTGCCCTATCCTGCCAGGGAAACAAGGACCCTTTACCCTTAACAAACCTCAGCCAAGCCAAGTTATTCCCCCTTGAAGTAGGCTGAAATCCATTTTGATGCATATGGCTAATGCCTAAGTATTTTACTGTAACAGCAAATATTTTATCTTAGAATCATAGAATAGTTAGGGTTGGAAAGGACCTTAAGATCATCAAGTTCCAACCCCCCTGCCATGGGCAGGGACACCTCGCTCTAAACCATATCAACCCAAGGCCTCGTCCAACCTGGCCTTGAACACTGACAGGGATGGAGCATTCACAACCTCCCTGGGCAATCTATTCCAGTGCCTCACTACCCTCACAGGAAAGAATTTCTTCCTTATATCCAATCTACACTTCCCTGTTTAAGTTTTAACCCATTACCCCTTGTCCTGTCACAACAGTCCCTAATGAAGAGTCCCTTCGCAGCATCCCTATAGGACCCCTTCAGATACTGGAAGGCTGCTATGAGTTTTCCACGCAGCCTTCTCTTCTCCAGGCTGAACAGCCCCAACTTTCTCAGCCGATCTTCATATGGGAGGTGCTCCAGTCCCCTGATCATTCTCATGGCCCTCTTCTGGACTTGTTCCAACAGTTCCATGCCCTTTTTATGTTAAGGACACCAGAATTGTACACAGTACTCTCACGAGAGCAGAATAAAGGGGCAGGATCACCTCCTTCAACCTGCTGGTCACGCTCCTTTTGATGCAGCCTAGGATATGCTAACCATAGGCACTAGATCATATGGGACAATAAATACTGCCAGCAGTCATTTCCATTATCAATACTGATCTTAAAAACAGTTGCATTCATGAAAAATACGTTATTGCTATTATTAAATATACTTCTCTATTTCTCTTTTTATTCCATTTTAAGAGCTTTTGCCTACTTACAGCAATGCTTGCTTCCCCAATTTTCTCAAGCACAGTATCTTAAGGATTGCTCCTCAATCCTTTATGCATTTTTCTCCCCTTGAGTTCACATTGTCCATGCATTTAAACGTTGAAAAGGAGTAGAACAAGGACCATCCAGGGCGATTACACATGAGGTCTTACAGCAATGCAGATCAGATCCAGCTGATGAGCTGCCAGTGCCTGCTAAGTATGCCACCAACCTACAGTCCAACTTTCAATTACCAGACCACCAGTAAATGGTCCACAACAGATCTTCAGGGCTAATTTAAAGTATTGGAATTGAAACAAAAGAAACAGAAGTTCAGAAGAATTTCTTTAGGATGGGCCATACCACAAACAGGTCTGTTGCACTTGCTCCTCAGAGAAACCACGACATAACCAGGATCAAGTTTACAGCAAAGACTAATTTGTCTTTCACCTCTACTAATGAAAATATTTGATTAACTGCAAAACATAACTAGAAAGCAAGCTGAAAATTCACACTGAGCTGACTCCAATTTAAAATGTAATCTAGTTTATAAACTCAGTGCCTTTCTCCACACCCCCCGCCCCCTTCTTAAAGTCAGGACTTTCTGTACACACCCAAGTATGGTCGCTAATTTGCTTTTCTGGTGATGAGTCATAACAGAATTGAAACCAAAGAATAGCCTTAGCCTTATGCAAAGGCCAAGTTTGCACATGGCTTTGCTGCAGTTCTCTAAACAGATATCTGGGCTTCGTATATGCCATGAAAAAAGAATAAATATGGTATTAGCAGTGAAACAAAGTTAAACTTATAAGTTGCGAATATTGATGGCATGCATTTTCAGATGTACACATGTACATATGAAGACACAAGTTGCCACAATACGGAATTACCATTACACTCCCAATGCCACAGTACTGACTGTATGAATGTTGCGCACAGATCAGAAGAGACATACTCAGTCAGGCTTTAACAGCTAAATGTACCTCTTGGTCACCCTTTTTCCATACCAAAATACTGAGACACCCCAATATAATTAACCCAGTGCAAGAATTACAGGTCAGATGCAGTACAGGACTGTGTACATGATGTATGTGTGTGAATATTAAACTACCACCACGACCAATCCAAAACACACATTTAACAGGAACTCTGCAAATCTCTATGTGATAAGGTGTAACGTCCCAGTACAAACACATTTAACAGTGATTTACAAGATTTTTACTTAGAGGAAAACAATTACTAATTGAACCTCTGTCAAAGGAGCCAATCTGGAATAGTAAGCACAGTGGATGAATTACAAGGAACTTTTAATAACTCCTATAACTTCAAGTTCATAGCCATTTCTATTTTATGCTGAATGTAGTTACACAGGTGGAAGAGAATTGAAAAGAGTCAGCATGATAGCCAACATTTAATTATAATTCTGAATTTTATTTATTTTTTCAAAAGAAACTCCAAAACCCTCCCACATTTATTCAGTGTTAAGTTTACATTCAATTTCTTTTAAGTCACTTAAAATCAGTAGTTTAAAATATATACAAGTGTTTCCAAAATTTTCAAAGTCTAACAGAATAGAAAATCTTTCACAGTTTCAGATTTTCCAGAAATCTGTACACATGTAAAACAACCAGATTGGAGCATTTCTGTAGAATTGCTGCAGCTCAGTTCAGAAATAATGGAACTTGAAATGTTAAGGTTAAGAGGCAGATTTACTTAGAATTATTGCTTAAATAGATAAGGAACACTTTGAATGTCAGTTGTTACATGAAGGTAGCTCTTCATATGAAATGTAATTTTTGCCAAGTGCTAAAAAAGTTAATTGTATAAACATTGCATAGTTTATATTCACATCATTTAATTACTTTCATCTGAGGAAACATGGACTGCACATACAACTTATGCTCTACCATGTAGGAGAACCCAGGCCTTTTTCCTGTCATGTCTACTGAGTGTAACAGTCTACAGCAAGATTTCCACAAAAGCACATAGTTTATGTAATTCATTGCCCCCAGTACATAATGATGGCTGCCTTTTAAAATTTGATAAATGACTCATAACTTGTAGGTCCACAAAAGAATTCCTTGCTACAGAGCAGAATGGAATTTTTCAGGAATGTCTCCCTTATACAGCAAAGAGATTCCCTTTAAAAAAAATTAAAAAAATAATCAAACGGCAAGTAACCTCCTAAAAATCAGTTATCAACTTAAAAAGCTCATGCCATACAGTGGAGAGCATTTTTTAACCAAGATTCAATGCTACATACCCGCCTCTAAATTTTCTTCTTGTTCTCCTTCTACCTTAACCTGCTTCCACCCAAACCTCTCAACTCTTTAAAACCATCTGAATTTACTGCCGCTTTACTCTTTTTGGAAAATCTTCATTTATTCCACATCTCACTTCTCCCTTTTAACCCTTCTTCCTACTAAGACCTGTGGCAAATGCACACCTACTACCTTCCTTGAGTATTCAGATTCTTATGTGTACTAGCTCAAGTTCCTACCTACCAGTCCTATGTCAAGAACTATTACACTGTGGCTACTGAAGAACATTAATCACTTCAGTGAAAAGTAATCAAAAAAGCTGGAATGCCCAAAATACAAAGGTGTTCGACTTGAATTACATAAAGCTAAAACACACAGATACTAGCACACAAGATTTTTTTTTTCTCCAAGTACACAACATATCGATTCCATCTACCGACTATAATCACACTCAAAACAGATTAGTGACACAGTTCAAGAACCAGTATTCCTCATAAGTCAGCGTAACAGTGTACAGAAAACATTCTAAATAAGTTGTTTTTTGAACCACCGAACTGACAAAGCTTGGTTTGCTCCAAGCTGCCCTTTGTCTTTTCAACTCCCCTCATTTCAGGATCTTCAGCTTCCCAGCCTCACTCAAGGTCTTCCATAGTACTATTGCAACTAGAAAGAGGTGGCATATGCTGCGTTATTTCAAAATTCCGCCTAAGGCTGATGCCAAAATATGTAACGCAAAACAAAAACACCCAAGTTTTCCTCTGTCTCCTTCCTCTACCCCACTGACAGACAAAAAGGGTATACATGGTACAATCACAGAATCATAAAACAGTTAAAGATTCAGAAGAACCTTAAAGAACACCTACTTCCAACCCCCCTGCCACAGGCAGGGACACCTTCCACTAAACCAGGTTGCTCAAAGCCCAGTCCAAATCTTAGTCACATAAGCTATGTGTCCCTAGGATGCCAGGCTTAACATGGAAAAGCTTACACAAAGGCAACATAAATGTTAAATATATAGCCAAGCAACCACAGAAGCTAATGCAATTCTGTGCTTGTTTTCTTTTGTTAACTTTAGACAGAATTCTTATTTGCACTCATCTCTATTTCTTCCCATTTGTAGTACCACCAGCATGTCCTTGGTTCCACTGCTACCACACTTTTCTGTTTTCCAGAATAGGCACATGACTGCAAAGCAGTGCCAAAGCCCATCTACTAAAAAAGCTTTCCTTTTCTTCATTGCAGTATAGCTAGCAGGCACTCTTGAAACCCTTAGGAGCATGTAAATTCCCAGAAAACTGCAGGATACAAAAAAGGCTCGAGTCAACTTTCCACATCAATGCTGACTCAAACACATGCTACTGTAGCATTACTTAGGGTGTTAGACACATGTTACCATGTATCTGCAACACAGGACAGTTAATTCCACCACAAAAAAACCTGAACTTTTACTTTTGGTAGGTAAAGATGCTTTACTTTCATGTAACATTAAACCTACAAGGTAATGTGCATAATTTTTTTTAAGAATTAAAATACCCCCTCAGTCCACTCAAAAGCCTTTGTTTTACCATAATCAAGACAGACCAAAGTAAGAAAATAATAGATCAAAATTTCATAAAAACAAAAGGCATCAGATCTGTATTCAGTGATTTAGAAAATAAACCCCAGTATTTACTTCTGCTTTCCATACAGTTCACCACAGAAAATATAGTTTCTACACCACTACAAACACATCTGAAGACATTCAGATGTGACGTTCAGTTATGAAGTCGTAACTGTATACCTTGGAATACAACCAAAATTGCTATCTGCTCACACACATAAAACCTCTGGAGATTTCAGTCCATTCAATTTGTACTCCCAGCAGTGATTATTTCTCAAATTTCCAAATCTGATTTTTATCTGCAGCATTACAAGTTCTCATTTGCACATCAGCACGCCCCTCAGTCGTACGATAAGCAGTAAGGCACTTTCCTGAATGAGGATGATAAATAGTCCCATCTTCTTTGAAATGCCATATAATAATTTCTGGGACAGGAGATCCATCTTTTGGGCAGCTTCTCATGCCTATGAAATCTTCATGCTCAGGGACTTCAGCACATAGCTCAGTTACAGAATTAAATCTAATCTCCTTATTTGATGTGTATTCAAAAAATTGATTGCCTCCCTGACCATGACATCCAAAGAGAGAAAGGTGAGCCCCAGTAGGATTATGTTCTGGTAAGACATAGTCAAGGCATTCTGAAGCTATTCCCGTGCTGCGGATAGCACCATGCCAACCAGGACGATCTTCTGGTACGTGCAACTCAGCAAATACGTTCTTTAAATACCAGTTAAAACTCTTGCATTTCAAACGCTCTCTTAATATCTTTCTTTCAGAAATATCCCCATAGTTTTCTTTTCTTGCTGAAGGGTTTCTGTTGTAGAAGTGCTCTTTGTACTCATCCATCCACACCTCAGCAGCGCGTGCTGTGTTCTGAAGGAAATTTGGTCTAGCATAGGGTGCACGCTTTGGAAACACATGACCTACATGGGAGCACGGATGAATTTCCAACATGCCTCCACACTGCCAAACCCTAAATGACAGTTCTAAGTTCTCCCCTCCCCAGACATCCATTCCTGTATCGTAGGTACCCAGATACTCAAAATACTTCTTGCTGACAGCAAACAAGCCACCAGCCATAGTTGGGGATCTGATTGGGTCAGTTTCAGATTTGCGCCTGAGACGCTCATGTTTAGGCACCGAGTGCCACTGGAATGTCAGCCGCCAGTCAAACCCTCCAATCATGGGCTCTGCCGTCTGCATATAGTATTCAAATGTTTTCCAGTCAATGGTGTCAATGACAGGACAAACAATAACAGTCTCATTCTCAGCAATCCTCTCGAGCAGCGGTTCCAGCCAGCCAGACACACATTCACAGTGACAGTCTAGAAATGTGAGGACATCACCGGTCGCAAAGGTAGCGCCAATTAAGCGTGCACGAACCAATCCTTCTCGTTTGTTGGTTCTTATCAAACGGACTCTTTTCAGAGTGCTTATGTATTTTTCAAGCTCAGTCTTCAAATACACTTTGTCACTCAAGTCATCCACCAGTATAATCTCTTTTAGAAGCACTGAAGGTGATGTTTCAAGAACACTATGTATTGTCCGCAGCAACGTTGACCAGGCTTCATTGTAAAAAGCGATTATAACAGATGTTGTGGGCAGTTTTCTGTAGTCGTAAGACTTGGTTTTACACCCATTCAGTCGATTATCTTCAATGTGCCGGTGGAGAGAGATTTTATCACTCAAATAAATATTAATTGCATACTTCTCAATCAGATCTTCTTCCTGTTTCTTTTCCTCAGGACTCAGCTGCAGGCGAGAGGGCTTGCCCCATTCTCCTGGGGCATAAGGATCAGGCGCAGATTTGTCATAAACTGGGCGAGCCAAATCCACAGCTTCTTCTGCTCTGTCAGAAAAGCGCCTCTCCCATTTCCCTTTGGTGATGCTCTCCCCGGCGAGAGAAGCACCGAAGGAAGAAACCGATAGCTCGACCACAAAGTAAGCGATCATCAAGAAGCCGAGAAATACGCAGCTTTTGCGGACCCACGTCCATCTTCTCGCCAGACGGATCCTCATGGTAGACGATTAACAGCAGCTCCTAGCAGAGAGGAGCTCCGTGAACTAGAGCCGGCTCCCCGCCGCGCCCCCAGGACGGAGCGGGCTGCAGGCTCCCGCAGCTCCGCGCTCCTCCCTCCTTCGCAGCCCGTTCCTCCGGTGCCGGGCCCACAGCTCTCCCAGGGGACCGCGGCGGGAGCGGGACAGCAGCGGCGGCGGGGGCGGCACGAAAAAGCCCCCCCGCCCCTCCGGCCTCGGCCCTCCCCTCACTTACTTCCTCCTCCTCCTCCTCTCTCGCCGCGGGACAAACCCCTCCTCCCGCCTTGTGGTTTGCTCTAAAAGTTGTCGCTTAAGGAAGGGGCAGAGACTCCTCGGCCCGCCCGGCCGGCGCGGGAGCCCGCCCCGCCTCCCCGCCCGGACCTGCGCCCGGAACTACCCGGCGGCTCGGGGCTGGAAGGAGGGGGAGAAGGAGGAAGGAGAAAGGGAGCCGCTCCGCTCTGAAAAACAAACAGCTCCCGCCCTCCCGCACTCACCCAGTCCCGCGGCGTCCGCGTGGAAGGCGACGCCCGTCACCGCCGCTCCGTGGCCTCGGAGGGGCCGGATCAAGACGGGGTCCCCCTGGGGAGAGGGTGCGTACCGTCAGCCTCCGGGAGGGGCACCCCTGCACCACCCCCTCGGGAGCCGTTAGCGTCCCGCACGCAGCAAAAAGCGGGGCGGCGAGCTGGCCCCGCGCCCTCAGCGCTCCCACCGCCGTGGCGAGGCGCCTTGCGACACCCGAGGACCGCCCGTGCCCGGGACAGAGTCCTTACCAGCGCGGAGGCCATGGGCGCAGTGGGGCGCCGCAACAACGGCAATGCCGTTTAGAGCGTTACGGCGGCCCGTTAAACACCCCGCGCTCCAGGCGCGGCCGGCAGAGCCCCGAGTTCATCCGCACCGCCAATGCCGCGTCCTTCGAGACGCCCATTCGCCAGGCGGGGCGCGCGGGGCGGGGCCGCACATCGCGGGGTAGGTGCTCGGCTCCCTCTTAAAGGCGTAGGGCCGCGGCATGACCTCCGCGGGGTATGGCGGCAGCCGCTGTGCTGGAGGCCTCTTACTGCGGCTTAGCTGGAGGCAGACATGAAGAGGTAAAACCTTAAAAGCTAGTGGGGATCTGGCCCGTGTTACCTCGGTTTTGTGACTTACGCGAGGTTTCACCTCACCATGAGGAAGAGCTTCTATACGTTGAGCACTGGAACAGGCTGCCCTGGGGGGCTGTGAAGTCTCCCTCTCTGGAGACATTGAAAACCCGCCTGGACTTGTTACTGTGTGACCTGCTCTAAGTGGCCCTGCCTTGGCAGGGGTTGGACCAGATGATCTCCAGAGGTCCCTTCCGACCCTAATGATGCTGTGGTTCTGGGAAATTAATGCAGGTTAGCTCTGTTTAACACCTCAAGACTGATTTTGTATTAAACCACCTTAGGTAGTTTGTCTCTTTGTCTTTTGTTTCGCAGTTGATTCTTTGCCCATTAATACTTTCTAGATTTCCAAGTCAGCATTCACATTTGTATCCTATAGAGTTGTCTTTAACCAGTCCTTTAATGCTCTAGTAAAGTACAACGAGCTGTTAAAAAAACCCAGACGACAGCAACAAAAAAAAGCCAGTCCAACACAGAAATGTTGGCATTAGCAGTGCTGTGAATACTCATGCTAGATAAGGGAACTGATCGTGCTGGAAAAATGCTGCTCCAATAGCTGTGCTAGTAGAACCAGGACTGACGTCAATTAGCAAAGGGGAGGGCTGTGATAGCAAAAACTGCCATTCAATATGCAACTGCTCATGAAGAAGTAATTTATACTGCAATTAGCCTTTAATTTCTTTTTAAAATCAGTCTGCATTTTACAGTTTCATCTGACATTAAACTCTTGTATCTACAGAATCAGGTCAGTAATTAGGCTAACATATAAGATTTGTCAGTTACAGGACAGTTTAAAATCAACTATTTAACCATGAAATGCACATTTACAATAATTTTTAAAGTGCTGAAAAAAGCAGGATTATCTCAACAAGAATATAAGAAGGTTTCCATGAAAATCTGCTAGCCACATTGGTTGTATGCAGGCAGAGTATTTGCCTTCACTGCTTCATAACATAAAAGGAAGGAGTTTTTTTAAATAGGTGGTGGGACAAGACACATTGACTTTAACTTGGACCTAATGAAAGCTTTATGTCATTATTACTGCTTCCAGCTCTGGGGCCACCAACCCAAGAAGGATGTGGACTTCTCAAGTGAGTCCAGAGGTGGGCCACGAAGATGATCTGAGGGTAGCTCTCCTGTGGAGACAGACTGAGATAGTTGGGCTTGTTCAGCCTGGAGAAGAGAAAGCTGTGGGGAAACCTTATAACAGCCTTCCAATACCTATAGGGGGTCTACAAGAAATCTTGGAGGGGAACTTTTTACAAGGGCATGTAGTGACAGGACATGGGGAATGGCTTTAAACTGAAAGAGGGTAGAGTCAGATTAGGCATTAGGAAGAAGTTCTTTACTGTGAGGGTGATGAGGCACTGGAGCAAGTTGCCTAGAGAAGTTGTGCCTGCCCCATCCCTGGCAGTGTTCAAGGCCAGGTTGGATGGGGCTTTGAGGAACCTGGTCTAGTGGAAAGTGTCTCTGCCCATGGCAGGGAGGGTTGGAACCAGATGAACCCTTCCAACCCTAACCATTCTGTGATTCTGTTATTATTGTTCTTGGTTTGGTTTGTTGGTTTTGATTGTTTGTTGTTTGTTTTTTCTTTCCTTTTTCCTACACAACTCACTCCCTTTATGTTAGCTCCTGATACTGGTTACCACTACCTAAAATGTAGCATTTGAAAAAGTTGGTAATGATAAGACTTAAGTGTACCCCCATTCTACTCCATTGCAGGAGCAGTATGTTAACTAGTTAAATTCACCTGGCCTCTTCACCAATTGAAGATTGGAGTCTTCCAGCCATTTCTCAGATGGTTTTTGAGCTATCATCTTTCTCTTAGAGTTTATCAGCTGTAAATGATGCCTCTCAGCAGGGAGACAGCCTGTCCCTCTGGGAAGCAGGTTTACTGCCAGACTTTGAGTGATCTTAAGTTATTCCATCCTCCCCTTCTCAAAACTCCCCTCTGTGCAGCTGTAATTGTGTATTATGGTATCTCAGTATTTCTGACACCTTATGTTCTCAGGTTCAGATGTGTTCATAAAGCTTCTTAAAACCAAGAGGACAGAAGCACGTGTTACTTTATTTGCAAGCTGAGCTATATGACAGTTTCCAGTCATGCTGAACCTTTTTCCTTTTGCCTTCTTCACAGCTGCTACAGTTCCAGTAGCTCAGTATCCCTTATTCATTTTGGGCTGCTAGCAATAAACTGAAATCTGTATCAGCCCACAGAACTCCTGAATTATAAAGTGCCAGGTGATAGGTATAAAGCAAAGAATGGACTGTGATTACCAAGAAAAAAAAGGGTGGCATCCCTCTTTCTATAGTTTCTAACACTGGAATGGTGTTTCTCAGATTGTAGGGCTTACAAAATTAGTCTGTTCCATGCTGCTTCTCCTTACCTGCCAGTGTTTTGAAGACTCCCAAATGCTTGTAGAAAGCAAAGTATTCCCTTGGCACAGGCATGTAATTAGCTGTAATGACTGCAGTTATAAAGCTGGCAGGTATAGTTTTTATGCTGATTATTTTTTCTTATTAACATGAATAGATTTTATTTTTAGAATTAAGATTATTGTAACTCCTAGTAATTTAATGCAATTATGAGTTGGCTTTGTGTTTTTGAGGTTGAGAATAACTGATCCACAATAGGAAGAACAATCTACTGCATTAAGTTGTTGTGCACTGTGATGACAATGATAAATGGCGCCTCAGAAAACATCTTCCAGGCATTGTGTCTCAGTAAGCTGTTGTTTCAGCAGCTGTGGAGTTTTTTCTCAGGCACTGAGTTAAGGTAATGGATGAACAAACAGTAACCATGTATACGGAGGAACACTTTAAGATCCTAACTCAAGTTTCATGCAGGCTGCATGGTCACTGTAGGAAAGGACCTAGTAAAAGTACATGTAGAATTCAAAGACACTTAGAAAAACCTGGTATCCTTTGCTCATGTAAGTAAATTACACTGATCACATGTGATTTGGTGGTAACTGAGGTCATACAGTGTATATGCACGAGGGGCAACGGTAATATACTAACCCAGCTAAAATTCTGTCATATCTAAAATGAGGACATTTTACTCCGTGTTAAACGCGCTTCAAAATAAAACCGACAGCCCCAGCTTTAATTGCTGGGATCATATTGGTTGCAACTGTATTAGCAGCAGAGCTGTTCAGACCCTCGGGATGGGGAATGCGAGCAGGCGCTGGTGCGCCGTGGGCACTAGAGGGGAGTGTGAGATACGGCTTGCTAGTGTGATGTCGGTTATTCATCCACCTACATGCGGAGGAAGAATGTAGTCTCAGGGCACAAAGGTTTAATTACAGGCTGTCGTGCAGTTGTAGAACCATAATACCTTATGCCCCTGGCACCTTTCCAACCTCTGAGCCTACCTTTTTTTCTCCTACATCAAAATGGTTATGAAAATAAATACTGAGACTGTAAAGTAACTTGTGCAGTACTGTTGGGTTTTTTGGTTTTGTTGGTATTTTCTTATCAACATCCCATTAAAACCTGCCTGCCCACTGCAGCAAGAAAACAGGGTGTCTAGTAGGTACATATAGATTTGAAATGTTAGGATGATTTGGTATATGATGTTACTTACAGCCTAAGAAACTTGTAGTCTAAGAAACATCCTGGGGTCCTGAGTGTGGTTGCTAAGCCTTTCTCTGTTATATTTGAAAAGTTGTGATAGTCAGGCAAAGTCCAGAGCAGCTGGAGAAAAGGGAATAGCACATCCAGACCCGGGGAACCGCTGAGAAGTCAGCCTCACCTCTGTGCCCAGGAAGATCATGGGGCAGACCCACTTGGAAGTTGTGTTGAAGCATATGGAAGATGAGGGGGTGATTAGAGACAGCCAACACGCTTTATCAAGAGTAAATCATGACTGACCTAGTGGCCTTATATGATGGAGTGACTGCATCAGTGGACAAGGCAAGAGTAACTGATGTGATCTACCTGAATTTCTGTAAAGCCTTTAGTAAGGTCGCCCAAACCATCCTTGCCTCTGTATTGAAGTGGTATGGATTTGATGAATGGACTATTAGATGGATAAGGAATTGGATGGATGGTTGCATCCAGAGAGTTGCAGTCTCTGTGTCTAAATATAAATCAGTAGTGAGTGGTGTCCCTCAAGGGTCTGTTTTGGGATCAGTACTACTTAATAACTTCATTAATGACATAGTGGGATTGAGTGCGCTTTCAGCAAGTTTGTGGATGACACCAAGCTGAGTGATGCAACTGATACGATAGAGGGAAGGGATGTCACCCAGGGGACCTTGACAGGATTGAGGAATAGGTCCATGCAAACCTCATGAAGTTCAACAAAGCCCAGTGCAAGGTCCTGCACCTGTGTTGGGGCAGTCCTCAGAACCAATATAGACAAAGGGATGAATGAACTGAGAGCAGCCCTGTGGAGAAGGACTTGGGGATACTGGTGAATGGAAAGCTGGACATATACCATCAGTGTGCGCTTGCAGCCTAGAAATCCAACTGTATAGTGGGCTGTGTAAGACATAATGTGGCCAGCAGGTCAAGGGAGGTGATCCTGCCCCTGTGCTCTGGTGCTACCCCACCTGGAGTACTGCATCCAGCTCTGGGGTCCCTATGCAAGAGACACAGACCTGTTACAGCAGGGGGAGAAGA